TACTATGCCGAAAGAAGATTCACTGCAATATAACAAATTATTTAAAAATTTACTTACGTCTTGGTTTCTTTTTTGTATTTTTTTTTATTTTCAAAGGATTTTTAGATTTTTCCATATGGATATAGATACATATATCAAAATTGATCAATTTTAGATCTAAAAGAAGAAAGAAACAATTTTAAGCATATATTCAGGGATTCACCTTATCGATTTTTATTCCGCCCGGTGATTTTACAAATCATCGAATTTGTTCTGCATTATTTTAACAGTGCTATATATAATCAGGGCCGGATTTACGAATTTGCCGCCCATGGGCCCAACGCATCATTACCCCGAATAACGAATAACTCAGCGAATAAGCTAGAGTCGCGCCCCACTCGCCTCGTGTACATCTACTGCCGCGCTTCTACGCAGTGACGCACTACGCAGAATAATAGTGTAGTCTGATATAAAATTATACAATGTATTAAAAAATTTCTCTTCCAACTTTTTATAGTTTTAATTAGTGTATAAATCTGAGTGAAAACAAAAATTCTGCATAAAACGCTCTTGATTTTTTAGCAAAATTTTAACTGGCCTTCAAAATTTGCCGCCCCTAAAAATTTGCCGCCCTGGGCCCGGGCCCATGCCTAAATCCGGCCCTGTATATAATATATATATATATATAGCTATAGCTAAAGCTAATAGATAACTATTGCGTGCATAAAATATACCTGATAGATTTCTTGTTTATATTAATCAACACGTCGTACACACACTCGCAGAACAAACCATAAATTATAAAGAACAAATGGTGAGCAACGGTAGCGGAGACTCTCGCGAAAGCGCGGTTCTTTATTGTGGGAAATATGTTGGCCGTCGGTTGCACCTCTGTTGCACCTCTGTTGCATACAATTGTTGACTGGAATCTATTGAAAATAAGCGGCTATCTTGGGCGGAAACAAATTTCTTGCAGTTTTCATGCAACTGACCAACAAGGTATTTTAGGAAATGTGTTGCCCGTCGGTTACACCTCTGTTGAATACAACTCTTAATCAGAAATGATTGGAAATACGTGTCAAACTTGGGCCGAAACATTTTTCTTGCAGTTTGCATGCAACTGACGGGAAATGTTTTGGACTTCCAACTTATTGGCTTACTGTTGCATGAAATATGCCAGCTTGTTATTGCCGACAACGCGTTTCTTTAGGTTTACTAAGAAACTTTGGTTATCTGGGTTATATAAGAGAATATATGTATTCTGCCAGGCCCGTATTAAATAATTTCGTAGGAGCGCGGTATCTAATTTAAAATATTCCTAGTGGATTATCAAAGAAATTCATCTAGTTTTACGCTCCAGAATGAACGAAATACGGCTCTGTGCACAGGAGAGAACAACACAATATCTGTGTGCGTACGCAAGGTATTGACATGCAAAATTAATAAAATCGCTTAAAATTTATCTCGTAATTATAACTAATTATAACTAATTATAATTATTACTACTTACTGGAAAAAGGAAATTGGTTGAAATTGGCTGGAACTAGTTTCACTACGACTAGGACACACTTTGACAACACATTTACCCATAATGTTCAAAGAATTTTACATAAATAATATATCCTCACAGGTCAACTGCTCAAATATGAATGATGCGATCTGGAAAACAGGCACCCGTTCAGGCACCCGCCCGGCCGTATCATTTTCTCCCTAAGGCAAGTCTATTTTGTCTGTGGAATTATCAGTGGCGGCTTAGTGCTCAATGTTCGTGAATCATGGCTGATATACGGCATATGAATAAAGATTTCTTAACCGAATTTATTGAACTCTATCGCAGTCTACCGTGCCTTTGGAAAGTCAAAAGTAAAGAAAAAAATGTATTCCTTTGCAGATGCCAGTCCTTTGACCACTTCGATCGATTTTTCGAACGATTTTTTTTGTAAGCTAAAACCGCCGCCACTGCAACTAAATTAAGACGTACTTCTTGCATGATTTCACGTTCAAAACTGACACAAAAATGCACTGTGTGTGTCGACAACGTTCCATCGTTCTGAACCGCACAGTTTTACCTGTTCGTTCCAAACCGTGCAAAAAGAACGATGTCTGTGGGGCCCTTTAGGTATTATAATAATGAAGGACAGCGCAAAATTACAAAAATTGATTTAGCAACCAAAAAGAAATGTTGTACTACAGAAAGCCATTTAAACAAGTTTAATCAATTTATGAACAAATTACAAAACAAAAAAAGGCAACCGAGAGTCTCGTAACCAAAGAAAACGTTACGGTTTTTGAATCTAACCCCGACGCGTCTAATTCGGATTAGAATTATTTAAAATCTTTTGTGCTTAGCTTTATTTATAGATTTCCTTCCATCCTTTCTCCCGCCCTACCGTATTTTCGAGTTTGCAACACAGTTCAACACGATTTTCCTCCAAAATTTTAACAGATTTTAAAAATAAAGGTTAAAAAACGTACCCGTGTTTCACCGTTTCACGAAATCACGTCATTTAAATTTTTTACAGTTCGGTTTTGTGACAAATCGATCTCGTCCCTCCTGGGTCGTAAAGTCACTTATATTTCACTTACTTTTTCATAGAGCAATAACGCACTCACCAGGGACAAAACTTTTGTCCCTGGTGAGTGCGTTATTGCTCTATGAAAAAGTAAGTGAAATATAAGTGACTTTACGACCCAGGAGGGACGAGATCGATTCCCAGGGTAGAAATATACTGGCTTTAATCAGAAATATATGAAAATATTCGAAAAAAGAAACGGATGAATTAAGATTGAAATATTTGAAGAAATCCTATGCATATATAGCTATAGCTATAGCCATTTGGTGCATGGTTAAAGAAAATTGAACATGGTGATATAAAAAATTGAATTAACCAGTAGATAAATGATTCAAGGGATGAGTTAAATTCAGCTGAGTCTAGACTCTATGAGACCCTTGATCAGTAAAGAAAATTTAAAAAATATGTGCTGGCCAAATAGTGTTTAAGTACGCTAAGGCCATTAAATCTAAAGAAGAAATTTTTTACACAGCCATTCTTATTAATAATTATTTTAACCTAAACAGATTTTTAATTCTCTACGTAGAGGTACCTACCTATTTTGTAATAATTTATTTTATGTTTTTACATAATACAAAAATTTTACTAAATAATTTTAAGTAAAAAAAAATAATTTCTGGTTTTAATTTTTAATTTTTTTAAATAAAACAACAGATTTGTATTTATCTTATATTAAATATAATATAATTATATGTTAACATATTATATTGGAAGCAAATCTTGATCTTTTAGTTTGATTATACATTGCTTGTGGTATCACAACCTAAAATCACCACTTGATATACAGGGTGTTTCACATTCGTGGTTCATTGGAAGTTTCTGGGGAACGGAAAAAAATATCGATTTGAAATTTATAATTTATATGTTTAAGTCAATTTTTTTTTTAAATATTTTGAACAAAATGCTTCGGTTTAACCGGAACTTTATTATTTCAAATAGAAACCCCATATATTTTTACATTTTTAAATTCTACATAATATTCTATAGAATATATATAGAACATAATTAAATAGAAAACCCCATATATTTTTACATTTTTAAATTCTACATAAGATTTTGAGTAAAATTACTGTACCATGTTGTATACCCAAATTTCATAATCAAATAGAAAATTAAAAAACATTTCAATTGATGTAATTGTTAAATATCTCTGAAATTACTAACTTTAGGTATAGCTAGGGAACTCGAAAACTATTTAGTTTAGGTATAGGAAATGGTATAGTAATTTTGCTTATAAGCACCTAGTAGATGCAATTTAAATTTTGACAAATGTTTTAAATTACATACTCCTATTAATAGTAATTACTTCTATTATTTAATACTAGAGAAGGTTTGTGCACTTTCAAAAGCGCTCATAAGTGATTATAAATGCTCGAGCGCTTATAAATAAATGCGCACGCATTTACCAAAGTGCTCGATATTTGAATTTGGCGCCAAAACTAAGAAGCGGAGTTATAAATTAACCAACCTTCTTCTTCTTCTTCTTCTTAATTCTGAACACAATTCTGTGTTCAGAGGAATGACCTTTAGCTTAATTTAAAAGCTATTTGGCCAGCACATTATATTATTAAATTTTCTTTATTATGATCAAGGGTCTTATTTAAAAGAATCTGAGATTAACTCATCCCTTGAAACATTTATATATTGTTAATTATTTATAAAATTTTATAGAACCATGTCATCTTTTCGCTTCACTATGTACACATGGCTTCATACACAGAATTTTCCAATTATCTTTAATCTTCAATCATCCGATCCATCTCTTAAGTATTTCCATATATTTTTGCAAATTCTTGGTTAAAACCAGTTTGTTTTTACACTGGGAGTCCGATTTTGCCTCTCCTGGGTCGAGAAGTCACTTATTTTTCAAATACTCTTTCATAGAGCAACCGACAGACACGAGAACCAAAACCGAACTGATTAACCAACCTTCTTTATCTCTTTTAACCAACAAATAACTACTGTTTACATCAGAACATGTGCAGGTCACAAAAGTGGTGCAGGTTTATCCAATTCCAAAATGGTTTACTTACCTCTATTTTGTTGGAATTTTTTTTTTTTTCAATTTTTATAAAATTTATATTTCATCGTTTATAAATGTTCGAGCACATATGAGCGCTTTGCAAAGCACTCGAGCATCTGCCATCTATATTTATTACCAATAAAAAGAAAATCTCTATTAAATAAAACTAGGTTTATATTTATTATTTATATACCTATTTTATATGTATTGTAGAAAAGATATACACAATTTTTTCAAAATTTTCAATATGACAGACAAATTGCACTGCTTTGTAAAATAATAAAATTAACAAATCATCTTATATTTTATTTATATACTATAGTTAAACTTAAATTAATAGGTATGTCTTAGGCAGTTTATAACATAAAATAAGTACCAATAGGTATACCTACATTATCACAATAAAAAAGAAAAATGTAACCTAGTGATTAATAACTTTTAAATTAAAATACTTTATATCACATATTATGCAAGGGGGTTATCAGCAAACAATTTAAATTCTTTAAGCTGATTAACCAAATTTTTGTTCTCATCCATAATTTCCTTAAAATCTTTGGACTCTTTTTTAAAATCCATCAGTACATTTTTTAACTTATCCTTTTGATTATTACTTTTTATATCTTTGGGGAGAACAGATTTCGCCTGTGTATTATTTTTAATATGATCCATATAAACAGAGTTACTTATAAACATCTCACTGGAAAAGTCCTCTAATCTTTCGTCATATTTGAATACATCTGCTTTTAGAATATCCGCTTTAAGTTGTATGTTTTGAGCCATTTTGTACCAATCACCGAAATTTTCGGCTAGTTGAGCGTATAGAGGCACAACTTCTTTATCAAGTAACTCTAATATTCTTTTTATTGTTTGTGTAATTTTTATTCTTTCTAGTATATGGAATTGTTCATCATTGTATGAGAGAGATCTTGTAGCTCTATCTCGTACAAGATTTTGCCATGAATCCCTTAAATTCTCGACCATAGTTTTAGCCCTTGCTGGGGCCTTATTTTTATGGGGGCATTTTAAATCACGGCTTATATTTTCCCATTGAGATTTAAGATTATTTTCAATGCAATGAGTTTTGTGTAGATTTTGCACACCTACCACTGAGTCCCTAAGAAATTCCATGCTTATTTTGCCAAGTTTACTTTTGAAGTTTCCGGTTTTATATTTGCTTATACTTTGTGAGAATTCGATTATTTCCGCGTTTTTGTTAGTTAATGTGTATTTTTCCTTCAAATGCATTGTGTCTGTGTTTAATAGTCGTAGTTCTTCATATATATATTTTGTGAATTTGTCAATGGTGTCCCATATAAGTTTGCAAGCTAGAGAAAATTTTTCTATAAGTCTTTTACAAATGTGACCTACACTACATGCAACTTTAGCCTGTGAAGCATCGTTTTCCACCACTACTACATTAGGAAAATCATTAAACTTTGGTATATCTCTACGAGGGTCAATAGTAATATTATTATTCTCTTTATTAAACAAAAATATCGGTTCTTCCTCTGTAGTTTTTGGATAACCACACGCTCTTGTATTTTCCCTAACAATATCATTTAACAAAGTCGTCTCATATAATATAATTTGACTTGTTTGTCCCATACCAGTTTGTTCTGTTATATACTCTTGCAAATTCATATAAATTTCATCAGGGTGAATATAAACCTTTATTAACTCAGCCCTGTTTACATGAAATATATTTATAGCCTCCCTGGATAATACTGTACTTACTTCAGAGAAAAACTTTTCGAACGACCATATTTTTCTAGAGTCGGCTTCTAGTAGCCCAGCCAAAAGTGGGGTTATAATCTTCTTTAAACCCGCACTTAATTGACAGCTGTTTGGAAGCTCCCTCCTCCATTCTATTGGACCATTTTCTTTTGTTTGTATACCGGAAATAACCCCCGACTCTTTTTTTGTCGTAATATGGTACATAGTTTCTTTATTTTTCCTCCCACCGTAGGGTTTAAATGGTAGACTTCCTGTGGCGACGTGGAATAACGTTACTCCTATTGACCAGAGGTCAATTGTGGCCCCAAACGATTTGTTTACGTGTTTTCGTAAAACTGCTCTTTCGTACATGTCGGGGTGGAGGTATTCTTCAGTTCCGTAGAGCGATTGGAAGTGTTGGCCGTCTTGTAACTCACGTGCGGCGCCAAAATCAGTCAATTTGTACACTGTGGAACCATCGTCTCTGATAAATTTCATTATGTTACCTAAAAAGAATGTCCATTTAACAAAGATATAACTGATTATAAGTATGTTGACTTAAGCTAAATATAACAGTCTTAAAACATATATTTTGTTCGGTTTTATTGATAAAAATTTTTTTGTAGGCATATTATTTGCAATGCACTAGTGTACCTAAACTAAGATATTATACAGGGTGTTATGTAATTAATGTTATATATTAAAATGGGTTGTTCCTTAGGGTCCATAAAGAAGCACCTGAAACTTTTTTTTTCTAAATTCCAAAGTCTAAAATTAATTTATAATAACCTTTATCGTACCAAAAAGTACGCCACTGATCGACTAGGAACTTTAGGCTAATCTGGTTAATTTATTATGTTATGGTTGGTAACAACAGTGTTTCCAAAATCTGTCAAAAAAGTTGACAAACATTGTTTAAATTTAGCTTAATTGCAAAAATTACAAAATTAACAATGCAAATTGTAAATTTGGCGTTTTTATTAATTGTTGGTTATGTCATTTTTGTACTGAAGGTAAATTTAAACAAAATCTGCCAACTTTTATGGCAGAATCTAGTGCATTTGTTTCAAATTTTAGGTTATGTGCTCAAATTGTAAATATCTTAACTAAGGGAAGTGCGTTTGGATTTATTTACACAAATTAAATGTTTAAAGTTTAACATGTAAACTGGTCCCAATTTCATCTGAGTAAACAGAAAGAAAAAAACTGATGAAAAAATTAATTTTGTTGTTATGGATTTTTTAGTACCTAGGTACTAAATTTTCTAATCATTGCTTAAGCTAATAGCTGGATGAGTAAATAAATACAGAAGGGTGTTAGAGCTTTAAGGGCATAAAACTTTTGTATTTATTGAGTTTTTATTTATTTTTTGGAAGAAAAATTTTTAGTAACAAATTTTTACATCTGGCAACGCGTAGCTACTTTGTTGGTTGGTATCTATGTAGTCACAGAATACAAGTTTGCAGAGATAAACCAAGTGTGTAACCAGTGGCGTATCACAAAAAATATAGAAGTTTTTTAATGCATATTTTTTTTTTATCTTTGGAAAAATATTTTTTTAAATATTTTTCCTTTATTCTTTATGTCAAAAGGTATTCAGTATTTTAATATATAACATTAATTACATAACACCCTGTATATATAATATTATAAGTACGTAATAGTATATTATGTATAAGTTTTATAAACGCCATTTTAGTTTCGAGTTTAATTAGGCACGAGCGAAGCTAATAAAAACGAGTGCCTAGAGAAGTTTATAAACTATACTATACATTATCTACGACGAACACAATACAGAATTTAAAGCCAATTTATTATTTAAACCTCACTTTTTCCCAATTTATAATAAAGCTAACTTCAGCCCGTGACTAAAAAGCTTAAAAGCCACTGTTTCTAACTTGAGCCCGTGACTAAAACGCCATGAGGTCACAGCTTGTCAATGTAGGAGTAGATAAACAATTTTTGCATGGGTAGATTGACATAAGTTGGCCTTTGAAATAGTTGAGAAAGCATCATTTGATGGAGAGATTCGAGCCGGCTGGAGTAACCATTCCCACTCTGACATTTCTATACAAATACAATTAGTAAACTGACAAAATTTAATAATCTCAATAGATAATTTATCTGTCAGTTAACTTTCTAAAAATAATACAGTTAACTGAGTAATTACTCAACGATAATCCAATAAATGTATTTTTTCTACCACCACTATGTAAAAGTCACATTTCGTAATGGCATCGTTGTTTAGAAAATAAATCTTTTCATTGGCAAGGCAAAACACGAATGTAAAGTGACATTTCTGTGTGAAAAGTGACAGGTCTGTGTAAAAAGAAATTGAAAGCATCGTTTGACATTAGTTTCAAAATTTGTATTGTATTTGTATAATAAATTCCAATTTTAGTACCTTATTTAAATTAAGAAGTTTATTGATTTTAAGTATGATGGAAGTAGCTTTTAACAGCTGTCAAATACGTTTTTAGGTTATTTTGATTTGTATTTGAATATAATAAAAAATAAAAGGGTCGTAGAAAAACATCTTGTTAATGCAAACTCGGCCTGACGGCCTCGTAAGCAACTTAAACACTCGCATGAAAAGTCGCTTTTCAACACTTGTAAACAAATAACTATTTTGTGTAAACGTCTTAATTTAGAACACAAAAAATACATACAGGGTATCCCAGAAGTCGCGCACCACCTGGAAGGTGGCCCCCTGGAATCCCAGAAAATTGTTAAAAAAATTACCTTTATCATTTAAAAATATATGAGAGTGTAAACATTAAGTTTTTAAACATAAAATAATATATTCCTTTAAGTTGTATTATACAGAGTGCACCGAGTATCCTTCTATGTATGGGTATCTTTCTTATTTTAACTTAAAATTTTTAAGAGCCACAACGGAACCCCAGCGCCCTCTTATCTTAGGAAGATTTTTGTATACATAAAGTTCGGACTCCTTGTGTAGGCTCCATGGTCATGATCATTAAGAATGAATCTGAGAACACTAAATTAATGGTGTTCTTGAATGAATCTATCTATTAATTTATTAGTACCCAATTTTGCCAAATTAACCAAATTAATTTATTTTAACAGAAAGTTCAAGTGCTTATTAATTGTTAATAACTACTAGTTATGCAATAATAATTTTTTGTTCCAAATTAAATTGGCTTTTAAAATATGTAAAAATATACATTTAAAAAAACGTTATTTTTGTGAATATTTCAAAAACCCGACGTTCAACTGTTTTTCTGTTTTCACCATTTTAATCAGAAGAAAAAATTTAACCGACTTTGTAGCTCCAATAAATTTTTTTAATTATTATAAAAACGAAGTTAACAATGTTGAGCAGATGTATGTACATATACAGGGTGTCCGGGAAAAGGAAGTCAATCCGTTAACCATATATTGTTTGAGTTAAAACAATAAGACTTTCATAATACCATTTTTCAGTTTAGAGCTTCATGTTCGATATACAGGGCGACAAAGTTTGAAATTTAAAACTGATTTTTTTTAATAATTCGAGTAATTGATAAGATATTAAGTTCAAATTCGGTACACTACTTCAACATAAATAGTTACATGTTCTGAGACCAACAAAACAAAAAAACAATTGTCAAATAATAAAAATAGGGGGGGTCCAGTACTCACTGACTCCCCCTAATTTTAGTACGTGCGCCAATGACTTCCAAACGGTATTTTTTCAGGTAATCATTTATTGTTAAAAAAAATTTGTCTCTTATAAAATTTTCATAAAATGATTTGTTTTAGAGATAATTTGTAAACTATGGGTCAGTCCATATCAAATCAACTAAAGGTTCTTCCCCCACCATCTCCGATTTTGATAATTTTTGGTAAATTTGTTTACCCCACTAAAAAACTCAAAAATCCCATACTTTTTTTTCGATGGGTGGTTTTTGTTTTATTGATTTTTGAAAATCAAAAAATTCCGATAAATTTGGGTTTTGCAAGTACTTACAAAAATAGCGATATCTCGTAAACTATTAAAAGTAGAAAGGTGAGTGATGGCTTATTTTAAAGGCCTATTAGAGACCTTTTTTATGATATATCACATGACCTAAATTTTTTCAAAAAAAAATTAAATTTCAAAAATTTGATATGGATTGACCCATACTTTACAAATTATCTCTAAAACAAATCATTTTAACAAAATTTTATAAGGGACAAAAAATTTTCAACAATAAATGATTACCTGAAGTCATTGGCGCACGTACTAATAAATAGGGGGAGTCAGTGAGTACTGGTCTCCCCTATTTTGATTATTTGACAATGGTTTTTTGTTTTGTTGGTCTCAAAAAATGTAACTATTTATGTTAAAGTAGTGTACCGAATTTAAACTAAATATCTTATCAATTACTTGAATTATTAAAAAAAATCAGTTTTAAATTTCAAACTTTGTCGCCCTGTATATCGAACATGAAGCTCTAAACTGAAAAATGGTATTATGAAAGTCTTATTGTTTTAACTCAAAGAATATATGGTTAACGGATTGACCTCCTTTTCCCGGACACCCTGTATATTATACAAGGTGTCCCTAAACTTAGCGGCATAAATTTAGGAGCAGATTAAGCAAGTCAAAATAAGACGAAAATCTAAATAAATATTTTTCCTAATTAAGTATGTTTAAAAGATACAGGGTGATAAAGTGTTACTTATCATATCAGTTTTTTTAATATAACTTCCACTATGGTAGACTTCGAAAGGTGATATTTTGCGAACAGTCACTTACTACCAAACACATATTCACACATAATTACAATTGTTCGAGTGAACGCAGTGACGTAGAAACGGGGATTGCTTAAGCTTATTGTCCCATACAAACTTTGAGGTTAGGTTTTTATACCATTGGATGCAATTTTTCGATTACTCAGTTCGGCTACTATTAAAAAGGTGTACCTCTCAAACTTCGATAAAATAAACCGTTTCCGAGATATCCGAGATTACAATAATTGTTATATCGCATTAAAGGACTAAAAGTTATATGATAACAAATTTTTTAATTGAAAAAACTACAATTTTTTTAATGTGACGGTCAGGGCAAAAAGTTTCGAGGCTCATAAAATGCCGTTTTTAGTTTTTTCAATTAAAAAATAAAATTTGTTATCATATACCTTTTAATCCTTTTAAATAATGCGATATAACAATTATTGTAATCTCGAATATCTCGGAAACGGTTTATTTTATCGAAGTTTGAGAGGTACACCTTTTTAATGGTAGACGAACTGTGTAATGGAAAAATTGTATCAAATGTTATAAAAACCTAACCTCAAAGTTTGTATGGGACAATAAGCTTAAAGCAACCCCCGTTTCTACGACACTGTGTTCACTCAAACAATTGTAATTATGTGTGAATAAGTGTTTTGGTAGTAAGTGACTATTCGCAAAATATCACGTTTCCAAGACTACCATAGTAAAAGTTATATTAAAAAAACTGATATGATAGCCTATCATTGATAGGTAACACTTTATCACCTTGTATCTTGGAAACAAA